GTTCATCATATCACATCATATCACATCTTTCGGTTCAGCGTCGTGATGCGGCATTGCATCAAAGATGTGCAGCGCAGGCTGCCATTTCAGGCCCTCAGATGCTTGAGAACTTGCTACGATCCTCGCAGTTTTTTACCATTGCCTTGCCACACAATAGAAGCACTGCCGAGCCACTCGCCCGCATGCCATGATGACGGAATTACTACAGAACAAGTCCGCGACATCTGGGACCTCAATGTCCTGGAAGAGCAGTAAGGCTCGGCTCCACTGAGCTGCCCCGCTGAACGCGCTGATCGCACTGCCTTGCTTCCGTTGGTCTTGTTTTGGTATCGCTTTCAGCTTGTGTGGGCTATTGGCTATTGCAATCTCCCGCACAAGAAGTGGAACACAGGCAAAGCACTGAAGCAGAGCTGGTTTGGCTGCAGCCCACAGCCGCGCATGGAAAGCACCAGGCAAGATGCATCCTGCCAAGCACCACCTCGTCAACTCATGCCCAAATCTTCGACGACGTGTTTTGAACTGCACAATTCCGTTTTCTCTCTCGACGGATTGCATTTGGCAAATGCAGCACCTTAACCCTCAGTCTATGGGGCTCCTAGCCTCCTGTTTTTGCTCGAGTGGAACTGTTGATCGTGCGGTGGGTGTGCGGCCGTGCTCCCCTGTTATGGCAATGAACAACTATGGCTTGTGACGTGTGTCGGATGTCCAATTCGTCACATTGAAGCACCCGTAGCTAATGGGAATTGCTCTTGTAATGCACTGGGACATAGATTTCTACGCACTGATGGCATGGCCCCTAACCATGCATGATACCCGATTTGCACAACATGCAGCCAACACGATCACAAGTAATACCGGCTAAAACACAGTGTACCTTCAGCACACTTTGACACACACACACACACGCAGAGACAGACAGACACACAGACACACAGACACACAGACACACAGACAGACAGACAGACAGACAGACAGACAGACAGACAGACAGACAGACAGACAGACAGACAGACAGACAGACAGACAGACAGACAGACAGACAGACAGACAGACAGACAGACAGACAGACAGACAGAAAGACAGACAGACAGACAGACAGACAGACAGACAGACAGACAGACAGACAGACAGACAGACAGACAGACAGAGAGAGAGACGCAGAGACGCAGAGACGCAGAGACGCAGAGACGCAGAGACACAGAGACACAGAGACACTCACTCAGCACACGCTTGCAAGGAAACCTTGCCTCGCTCGCATGCGCTAATGGCGCAGCTGAAGCTGACCAGGTCCGGCGAGACGTGTGCTTCCATCATGTCACAAAGCAGCCGCAGAGCCAGCTGCCATCTGCTGCCTGACGTGCAGTCATCCACGGCGGACTCGACAAAAGCAAAGACGTGCAACGACGCAGCCCAGGCTTCCACATGGACAAGTTGCTGTCAAGTGCCGAAATGACACCACTGTAGCTGATGACCTTGCTCGGGCCAGATGAGCAGCTCTCTACGAGACTTCGGTGGGAAATCCTGGGACTGTGGCATCCGGACCATCCTTGGACAGCTCGAGCAGCTCCAGAAGCTGCAGCGCGTGCTGCCATTGACCGCTGCTTGCGCAGGCACTTATGGCAGCATTGTAGCCTCCGTGATGCAGCTTGAAATTACGCTGAGCAGCTGCTACATTGACAGAGTTCACCACATGGCCCCCCGCATGTTCGTGTATGCCTTCTTTCTGACAGAAGGTCAACAAGTTTGCCAGCTTCACATATGTGTTGACAACAGGAAACTGATGGGATCCGGATGTAGGCGTGCCGGTGGCATCGCTGCCAACAACTGCAGAGCACCCTGCCAGAATCCAGCCTGCGCATCAGGCACCAGGACAGCAAGCTGCAGGCAAGTGGGCATCAAGATCTTCATGTGAGATCTCAGCCGGCATGCATGTAATTTGCAGTTGCCGAAAGCGAAAGCTTTCAACCAACCTTCTCACAAGCACTGATCGCTGCATTGAAACCGATGAGCGTAGCCACCAGGCGGTCCTCCACTGCGAGTACAGCAGCAGCGATGGACTGTTCAGCAAGAGGCCAAATGAAGTCACTCAAGCTGTGCATCCACCAACCCAGATGCAGGATTCGTACGCCTCCATCATGCCCGTCAGCAAACACAGTGCGGATTCCCATTTGGCTGCTTTCCTCGGCGTGAACGTCTTGGTGCCACATCTCATAGCACTTAGCTTCAGAAGCCGAAAGCGAACGGCAAACTTGAAAGCCAGGCCCGCGACTCACATGAACTGATTCCGCTGTTCACACAAATCGCATCCTTCTGGACCTGCGCAGGCAGTTATATCCACTCAAGCGCAGCTCGTGGTTCGTAAGAACTTCTTCCACGCCATGCGAACAGGCTCCTGTAAGTGTCCGAGAGCGGAGAGGAGCAGAAGAACGGATTGCCACTCTGCTGCCTTTTCGCAAGCCTCAGCGCTCCGGAATCAAGTCGCACGGTCGCCGAAAAGTACCGCAACGCCGCTTCTCCCTAACACGTGAGACATCAAAACTCTCCTGCTGTCAACATCGCACATTGTTGGGGCTTGCAGCCTAACTACAATCTTGGTTCCTACGAGTTTCGTCAAGCTGCAGAGGATGCGCATGCCCACGTCACAACATTGCATTCGATAGTCGCAACCAGCATCTCAGCCAAGAGGGACGAGGCTTGGAGCCAGCGAGAGCCACTCTCGCATGCGTTTATTGCAGAGCTGAAGGTGTAGGCCTTGCAATCTCAAATCAACGGTCCGAGTCGCCACTTTCTGGCCGATGCCAAACAAGGCTTGGAACGTACTCAGAGGCTCGGACGTTGGGCACAGTAAGGGATGAGGCCATGAGCTGAAGAAGCTGGGTCGCCCAGGTCCACTGTCCTGACCTCTAGCAGAGCTCGAACATCGATGGGTAGCTCTTCAAGAAAAAACACAAGGCACTGGTCGTGAACCAATCAATCCAGGACACTTCTCACAAGCACCGACGACAGCAGTGAAATGAAACACGTTGCATTCCACGAGGCTTTTCCTTGGAAAAAGCCATCTCTTTGGAGCATTTGGACGCCAGCAGCACACTTCGCTAGGGAAACCACAACTTGCCCAAGGTATGCTGAGGGACCGCATCAACATCAAAACTCGTCTCGCCATCGATGCATGCCTGTCACTAGTTTCATGCCATACAGACGATACGAAGCCATGCAGTTGTTATGACATGCTTCTTGCAATGGACGTCAGCCCAAAACCTGAACATTTCCAGCTGGCCTGTGCCTGTGCAACTCCTTGTACACTGCACATGCACTGTAGTCTCAACCACGCTCCATGAAAACTCTTGCCTCACGGTGGCCAAGTTTGCAAGGACCCTGGTGGCTTCCTGCGGGCGCCGCTGCCAACGCAGCAAGGCCGGTGAGAGCACTCGCTGCACCTCGTCAGATTCTGAAGGCCAGCGCTGGATATTGGCGCAAGCACACTTGCCAATCGAACTATCCGTCGTAGTTCACTGCTATTCGTGCTTGTTCCCCGCTGTGTTCTGCCACCAGCCTTCTCTGTCGTGACAGGGTCACAGGACAGCAGCAAATCCACTTCTGGCGCCAACCTCCCCTGCAACGGCAGTGGAGGTGTGGCTCTCCATTAGCAGCACAGCTCTGCTGACAAAAGCCCACGCCTTTTTGCAATGCTGTTCCCGGCAATGTGGCCGAACTTCGCGAGAATGCCCCACCATCGTGAGCGAACGTTAGCCATGTCGCGAACAGCATGGACAGCCCGCAAGACCGGTGTTGCATGCAACTTAGACGATAACATGTTGAGCCGCAGCCGTGCAGCGACTGCTCGTGCAAGTACAGGGGAGCAAGAAAGGCCAAGGCTTCCCTGCATAACGTAGTGTCTGCTGGTTATCCGTGTTGTTGCCGTTCTTCCGCTGCATCGGCTCGGAAGTCTGCCATGTGATTTTGCTGCTCATGCAGAGGTCGGTTCTTGTCGCCTCCAGACGCTTTGACTGCCAGGAAGAGGTGTGGCGCATGCTTGAAATTGCGCTGCCGCAAGGTCTTCGACAGCTGTGAACAATGAACAAGAGATAAGCGTCCACTCTCTCTCTCTCTCTCTGCATGAAGCATGAAGACCTTGCTACCGGTGGCCAAGAACCTAGAAGCGACTCGAACGCTCCCCATCAACTCGGTACTATTTTGTGGTACTGTACAGTTGTGCTCATGGCACTCCTTGATGGTGCATGCCTTGCTTTCTGGCATGCAAGCCCCACTAATTTAAATCTCCTGCTTGGACCAAGGCGACCACAGGCTCTTGGAAGTAAGAACCATCAACCATCATCTATCGTTAAAAAAGCCAATCAAAGCCCGATCCAAAGGAAATGCAGGGAACTGCTGCAGAAGTTGCAAAGTTCGAAAGGGGGAGCAGTTGGATGTTCCTCAAAAGTCGGCCCGAAGACCCGAAAATCAGATGCCAATTGACCCCTCCATCATGCCTTGCCATACAGGCTAGCAGGCTGCTGGATTTTGTACAGCTGTCGCGACACGACGCAGACAGTGCGAGATAGCAGTGCTGCAATTGTCTCACATAGTCCAGCATCTGGTCGCGAAGAAAACCATTGCGAATTTAGTTAGTAGACAGCCCAAGCTAGCACTCAAATATATTTCGTCTTGAACATACGAGCGACTCAGGCGAAGCCCATGATGTTCATGCCTTCTTGGATGTCTTTCTTGCAAGTCTGTTGCTTCCGGGTCTGCGCGCACTCCGGCACTTTGCTCCTTGCTTGGGTTGCATCGATGTTCTGGATGCTGGCGCTGCACTTCGGATTCCGGGTTGCCCGGTTGGTGCCACCGCGTCCGTCTTCTACAACTCGATATGTGACATCAATGTCATCATCACCAGGGCCCACGACTGGCACTGTGACGTCGTACATCTTGGCACCAGACAGGACTGCCTGTCGGCCTTCCCTGGTCTTGACTTCCTGGCAAGTTCCCCCGACTTGTTTGACCACCTGGTGCACAGGAACTTGCCGCAGGATAGTGGCCAATTGGGAAACATCCTGTGGATGGGCGTCGCCAGCTGCAACTACCGACACGTCTGAATGCTTCTTAACTGGGCAGTGGCCTTTGGCACGTAGGGTGTGACGACCCTTACCCGCTTGGCGGCAATGAGTCTCTCGGGCAAGCTCCTTGGCATCTGGGAACTCGAAAACATCGTCCTCTCCCACGCAGCCTCCGTCAATTGTAATCTCTGGGCCAGTTGCCAAGCTGGCAACCTTCCCATCGAGCTTCTGAATCGGCTTCCGGGAAAGCTTGCTACAAGATTTGATGGCCATGTCTTTGCGGGCACAAAGCCGAGCTGCCCACGATGGTGGCTCTGCATCATCTACGGGGAACTCTTCGAAGGCCATGTCCTTGGCGGAGCTGCTGACCATCTCCCACTCCGGCTCCGAGGTGAGCATCGGCCAATCTCCTCAGAGAGCAAGGCTACGAGGCAAAGGCTATTGTGACTAACCTGGCTGCTGAATCGACAGGACAGAGTGTTGCATCGGCAATTCAAGCCACATGTCAGGGCTGAGATGAAGGGATGTGATTTATCCTGACCTGCAGGGCACCGTAATTTCTCTCGCCGAAGCTCGGCTGTTCAGCTGCAGCACCTGGACCTCCGAAGTGTTGACAGGTGCCATGTTGGAGCAAATGCAAGCTGGTCTTCCTTGAACTAGTTTGGCAGACCTTGCTCGAGCTTCGAACACTGCAAGGAGCACATGACTGTGAGCAAGATAGGCTTTGCTGCCACCGTATCAAAAGACCTGCTGTGCTGGGGTGGCCAAAGACACGCTTGCAACATCTCATGCAACATCTCTCCCTGCACAAAGGCAGACTGGCAGGCTTTGTTTTTTCCACTCGAGCACTACGGTAGTGACTGCGTTGGCAGTCAGGAAAATCAGGAGACGGGAACCCTGTTCCGACATGCGCAATATGCCGAATTTTAAGTTTTCATGACGTGCATGGTGAGGCTTCCATCATGCCGGCAACCTGTCAATGCAAGCCGCGCGCATGCCGTGCAAGAGAGCCACAGTTTGCTGCGAGCAGTCTCCCCGCACACAAGCAGCGACTGCAGCTCTGCATGTTATCTCGTTTGCATCAGGTTGGCTCTGCAGCCAATCGCGGAGGAAGCGCAAGACCCAATTCCTTGGAGCACGCACGGCTGGATTACTCAAGCAGCAGCAGGTACTTCAGGTCATGCCGAATGACATAAAGTTGGGTCTCAGTATCCACTGCTCTCCCTTCTCACAAGCTCCAATCGCTGCACCATAAGTGACCGCAGTGGGGCTCAGGATTGCTTCTGACATATCGTTCAGGAGACGTAAAGCTAGCTTCCAACATCCACATGCTTCACAAGCGCTGATCGATGAGTTGAAAGTGATGGCCTGCAGAGCTTGGAGATCAATGCCACGCAATGCAACGCACAGAAAATGCCTGCAGAGGAATCTGGAGCTAATTGGCCAAGCATCACTGGCTCTAACATACGCGGAGCGCACGATGGCGAGCACACCAAGTGCGTGATTCCACTGTCCTCCCTTCTCACAAGAACTGATGACAGAATTGTAGGTGATCACCTTTGCCGCCAGAAAACAACTGTGCAACAATGCAACAAGTACAGGCACTCGTGGTGAGAGGCTTGCATTCCACCCCGCGACTTGGAGGCAGCCCAGTTTTTTGCGGCAAAGATGCTACACGCTCCAACTTCTGGCTCTTCATCTTGCTAAGCAAACCCATTGATTCGCTCCACTGCCCTGCTTTCTCACAAGCACTGATGGCCGAGTCGAAGCTGATGAAATCGTGCCCAACATTGTCTGCGGGCATTCCACCTTGGCGTGCAAAGGCTCTTAGATACATGCCCAGCTGAACCACAGTCCTTCAAGCTTCTGACTATTACGTGCCATGCGAGAGGAAGCACGTCTTCATCGGTCATAGTAACTCCCATCAGCACACACACACAACACACAAGCACGCAGCATTGGCAAACACGCTTGCTCAGCTGGCTGGCTAGTTCTGCCCGCGTGCGCGATGTAGGCGGGCCCATGCTGCTCCCTGCTGCCAAGGTGCCAAAAACTTTCAATGCATTCTTCCAACAGCTGTTCTTCTCACATGCACTGATGCCAGAGTTGAAGCTGATGTCTATTCGCCTGATTGATGCTGCAACCATATGGCTCAAGTGAAGGCACGCCATCTGCCACTGGCCACATTTGCCGCAGGTGCTGATGCAAGCGTCATACATAATGGTGTTTGAGCGTAGTCCAGATGTGGGCGCAACATGAAGAAGTGAGAAAGCCAGCTTCCACTCCCCCGCTTTCTCACAGGAATTGATGGCACTACCGTAACTGACGACAGTTGGTTGCAAGGCCAGGTGAGACAAGTGCCAGAAAAAGTGCAATGCTAATTGCCACTCTCCCGCTGCACCACACGCATTCACTAAACTGTTATATGTTATGACGGATGGCTGTAGCCGTGCCTTCGCTGAAAGTTCAAAAAGTTGCAAAGCATGTTGCCATTGGCTGCAGCTGTCACATGCTGCGATGCAGCTGCCGTAGCTGATGATGTTCTGCTCAGCGGTCAACTTAGGCATGTAGTTCCTCAGCCCCGAGCACATTGGCCAGCAGGCAGTATTAGGCAATGATGCCCTTCGCGTATGCTTGCAGAGAGGAAAGGACAAAACACAAACCTGTCGGGCAACCCATCTTAATGCGTTCCAAGCTCAGAACATGCAGCGCCAATTGCCACAACCCGCTCTCGGCACAAGCACCTGTCTGGAAGCTGCATGGCCTACTTGACTCGAAAGAGAAAATGCTAAACTCCACTGGACAACTTTTGGGCTTGCCAGGTGCTTCTGTAAGAAAGCTGCTTTAGGGCACATACAGAGAGAAAGGAGTTGATGCTACCTCCCCCGCCCCCGCACCACAATTTTGGGGCCCTCAAATATGCTTCAGGACTTGAGAGGTGTACATGGTCGGAACCAACACAGGAGTGGGCCGGGGGGATGCAAAGGGGGAGGAAAAAACTGACACGGCTCTTGTGTTGCAACCTTGTATGGCGTCTGGCGCACGAATCTCGGCACGTGGCTATCTTGTCCTTCAGGCGAACGCTCTCAGCCACTTGCGGCTGGGTTGAGCCCCTGGCCCTTGCGAAGATTTTAAGGATTTGGGCCTGAGTTTGAAGTTCTGGGAAGTAGCTACCATGCCCAAGGATGCAATGTTTCACACACACACACACACACACACACACACACACACACACACACACACACACACACACACACACACACACACACACACACACACACACACGCACATACAAAACCCCAAATGCTTGAAACCCTGATTTGTCAACCTGCCCAAACTTGCGGCTTCGGGATTGCCAGACGCAGAACGTTTTGCTGCGTCATAAGGCGGCACAACAGTGCAATGAGTGCGGATAGCCAAGCCACTTGAGTTATCCATATCTTACGCAGGCCCTGACTGATATTGTTTGCAGCTGCGACGGTTTTAAGCTTCGGCAGGACCCCCCCCATGAGGGACAAAAAACACTACTGCGGGCTTCTGGACAGCGCAAGCAAAATTCCCGAAAGCTCTACCGTGGCGGGCTAGGTTCGGGGCAAAGCACGGTAAATTTCTCATTGTCCCTGCACGACAGCCACGGCATCTCTTCTATCTCAAGCTTGTATGTGCTTCTGGGAACGTGGGCTTTCTTGCCTCGCGAGCAAACTCGCAAATGTCCTTTCTCCTGCGGATGAAAGCTTGTTTTACTCGTCAAAACAGTCTTTCCTAGTGCCCGCAAGCCTCGTCACAATCGCAATGTCAGCTCACTTGTGGAAGAAGCTGGCTCTTCTCCGTGCTTAAAGCTCGTGGCAAGCGCGGCAAATTTCCCATTCCCGGGCGACAGCCAACACGTCTCTTGTATCTCAAGCTTGTACAGGCTACTGGAAGACAAACCTCTTGCATGCGCTGTCGCCTTTTTGGATCTTGTGTTTTTGGATGTTTGGACTTGTTCATTCTTCATTTTTGGATTTGATACTTTTTTGGGGGCTTTTTGGGTTTTTGGATCTTTTGAGTCTTTTGATGTTTTGCATTTGGGATTTTGGGATTCTTGGATTTGGGAATTGTTGTTTTGTTTTAGCGAGGCTTAGCAAGTATGGCTCTAAGCCCTATCCATATAACCAATGCTGATCAGAAATTGTTTACAGGAGCTTCACAATCGAGGTTGGTCGCTTGGGGGTAGGGAGGGCGACCATACATATATATGTATATATATATGTGTGTGTGTGCGTGCATGTATATGTATATGTATATATATATATATATGTATGCATGTATGTATGTATGTATGTATATAGCTAGCTAAAAATTAACCCAAAGAATATGTGTTAAGTGACACAGGTTGATAAAGACACTCACACGAAACAGGGGAGCACAACTAAGAAGCTTAGGACAGGCTCAATAGTATGAACTTGTCCCCTGGTTAAGGCCGCAAAAGCTTCGCCAGATGTTTCCAGCATGGCACTGATCACAGTGTTGCTGTGGAAGGATGAGGTCTCGCAGGCCAGATGATGCATGGCGTCCAAAACCTGCCCCGGACAGCAAAACCAAGCAACGTAGCATTTATGACGGCACATTCAAGACAGTCACCCGGAGCCCTCCTGTCCTGAGCTGCTGTGGCGCCTTTCCTCTGCGCTTTGAGCTGGCTAAGGGCCCAGGTTGCCAAGCGTGGTTCACGCCAGGCATGCAAGGATGCCTGCACAGCCTTGCAAGGAACATTCGCATGTCCAATTCTCTTTTTTTGCAAGCAACACACCGGCGCCTGCCACACCTGGCTGGGTGTTGAGGCTGCATCTAAAAGGATGAGCTGCGCCATTGCGGAGCTCGTGAGCTGTTGCATCTCCCTACCTACAGATGGCATGATTCGCTTGCAGGTGCTGCAGGGCACTCGCCGAAGCACCGTGATCGCTCTCACCTCCCACGATCATCGTACAGTGTAAGAGCGAAGTGCCAATCTGTGTCTTTTCACTCCAGCTCAAGGATCAAGGTCAAATTGCATTGAAACGCTCGCATGAGAGCACGGTCTGCCCTGGCCACACAGAGGAGGACATTAAACATCGAAATTTCGAATCGAGATGCATCACGTTACAGATCTGGTCAAGAGCAGATGCGGCCGTCGCGCCAAGTCAGTGTACCAAGATGCAAAGCAGGAAGCTACGGCAAGTGACCCTTTGAATTATGATTGGCCAACAACAAATCATCGAGAGCTCAATGCTCTGCTGGTTGAAAGCTGCTTTGCCCAGTCGACGAACTTGGCCAGATGTAAGGACCAGTCCCAAAGGCGTTCCCATGCCCATCTGCCCATGCACATCCACAATGAGCAGGCAGAATCTTTAGAACGCGGAGCTGCCTTTTCGGCAAATGGGACAACAAGAGCCACTATGTGCACAATACATGCACTTAGCATCCTTTCGTGCATGGAAAGCAACGACGCTTCTATGAAGCTTGTTGGAATTGCAGTCTTGCCGGATCAATGCTGCCTCAGCCTCACACATGCTTGCTTGCGGTCATGTGGATCATGTGACTTAACTATGGTTGTCCGTACGCTCCGGCCAACATAACTGCGGATCTGCATGGAACCACACGAGATTAAATGAGAGCCTAGCGCGCGATAGACAGCGCTCGCTTCAAGCGCCAGCTCAGCTCTTGAAGTCTTGGAGGTTGGTGAAGCTCTGTGTTCCACAGAGCTGGCAAGAAACCTCCAAGGTTACTTCAGTTACTTGGTACATCCTTCTGCTCTTACACGTCGGCGCACATGTTTTTGGCTGTGCCCAGCTCAGGCACGACCGCGCCCTCCTGAGTCCTGGGCACGAAGCAGAAGATTATCTCACAGGCGGCGCACGGTGGCAATCGGGGGGCTGAGCGCCAGACGGAGGATCCTGCTCCAGAGCTCATCCCACTTCCACTCGCTGAAGACGGGAACCCTGAGACTCCAGAGAAGCCAGTCCCCATGGAGCCGCCCTTCTTGTCAGTGATCGTCTTCATTGCTTTCACCACGATCTTCTCCTTGTCCAACGGCGTTTTAGTGTTTTAGTGACTTGAGTGGGAACTGCCACATCCTGCTATCTGGCTGGTATACACGCATTCACGGGCTTGCAGATAGTCTTGGACAAGGCACGAGCTTTTCTAGCCGGTCGTCGTCAGCAGTGTCCAAAGGATCTTCTGGCCAGGGCACACCCGGTGCAGTCGAGCCACCGAAGCGCCTGACAGTCTCCACCTGTGCAGCTCCAAAGCACACTAAATGAAACGCCAATGTGCGCAGTAAGGCGCCCGCGGTTGTTGGATTTGTGTTGGCTGGCTCGAACACCTGGATGCCACCTGCCGGTCACTGTGTGAGGAAGAGGCTTTCCTTGTCATGCAAATTCTCGTGCCGACACGTGGGACACGTGCCTGCTAGGCCAATGTCGCCCTCGTTGAATTCCAGACGTTGGTCGAAGCCAAGGCTCCTTGAGTCCGACTTCAGTGTACACGCTTAATCACGCTTACAACATCCACCCTTTTGTGCCCACCGAAAGCCTGACACGTGCACAGATCATGTGCGCTTGGGCCTAGCAGCCAAACGTTGGCATCACACGCAGGTCCCTCCACGACTGCCAACCAAGCCCATTAAACGCTGTTAACTACCTGAAGTTCCAAATCAAGCCAAGAGACTGCAAAAAGGTTGCCCAACGTTTGCGAGACACCGCTTCAACGGTGGAGACGATGATGCTCCCACGGGTCAGGCGCGCATAGCCCTGCATATCTTCATGAACCAGGCTGTATGCCTGGTTCAGCTGTGCCACCAGAAGATTGAGGAACACAACAGAGATCAGGACGGTGAAGAGAACGATGCAGATCTCCACCCAAACCGATTGAGTCAACACCTCTTTGAGGGCCTCATTCGGGTACATGCTCAGCGTCATCTCGAGCAAGGTTTCCATCCCTTTGTCGATTCGACTGAAATCCTTCAAGCTGTGATTCATTGCTGCAATGGCCGTCGCGAATGAAACAAGCAAGAAGAGGGCAGCCAGCAAGAATAGGAAAACCTCTGTCAGCACTCGACCGCACACCAAAACAAACGCCGAGATCTGCATGGAGAAGATGCTGAAGTTGATGAGGAGGAGCCAGTACAGAAGCATTGCAACGCCTGAGAACACCGCGTAGATGTCCTGGCGGGCTTTTGACAATTCTGAGGCCTTGTGATCCTTTCGACCAGATGCATCAAGATTCTTGACGCTTGTGTGAGCCGCTTGTGATTTGAGCCCAGCGTGCCTTGTGACTCGTATCTGCGCATTTGAGATTGAAGAGGCCGAACTCTTCTGTGTGAGAAAGGCAATGGAGAATTGGCTCCTCAGAATGCTTCAGATCCAGCTGTAAACTACCTCACGGCCGAATGCATGCAGTGATGATGAGATGAGGCCTTAAGGTCAACGGTTCTGTTGAACGGTTTCCCACTTTTGTCCAACGTGTCCTGTGCGCACATGAACATCAGGATGATCAGGAGCATGAGGTTTCCAAAGTCTTGCGGGTTAAGCAGGTACCTCAGCACCCACTGAGGCATTTCCTCACCTAGATGGCAAGAGAGCAAAAGCAAGCCAACACAAAAAGGCCACTAAGAGGATCCAAGGTGCGCGGGAATGGGAATCCTGTACACACGTTCGATGGCTCCGGTCTTGATGTCTTCATACAAGAGACGAATCTGGCCTTAGCTTTCTCGGGGCCGAGATCATGTGCTTCTGCGCTTCTGACAAAGAAGCAATGTCTGACGCCTGGCACCTGCGCCTGCACCTACGACCGTGGACCCAGCCCGCAACCTTGGAAAAAAACAAACTCGCGAGATCCTTGCCTGGCCCAGTTGTGCCCTGAACCAGCGGGAGGTCAACACATGAGTACACATGAGTTCAACCTGTAGCTGAGATCCTCCATACTGCGGCTGCACACAGAGACAAGGTCCAGAAGCCGCCACCACCGCCAAACACAAACCGTGAGTTGACTTAGAGTTCCTTCGGTCTGATGCTTTGTCAACCCTCAGAACGATTCGACACCAGGCTGAGCTGCTGTAAAGGAGTCGGCACATACTTCCAAGATAGATGAAGATGCGGCAGCAAAATGTCCCAATGCGCTCCTCGAAAGATCCGTCTGTTCTTCCCAGGATCGCTTGGCCGGCAATGAAAACCTGGCAGGATGCACTACAACAAAGAGGTTCACTGCACGAACTGCCTGCTGGCGTATGTACTGTATGCATGCCAGGCAGCACACAGTGAGAAGAGGAAGTAGCATCGACTGAGGAGGAAGTTGTACCTGAAAGCGCAACAACGCAATATTTTAAGCTGGACAGGAGCTTCCAGAGACAAGGCCCTGTAGCAGAGCCGAGCCACTGCGCAAGCCGAGTCCACAAAAGATCTGCAAAGATGACGACTGCTGGATGGCAAATGATCTTGGGGTCGTGTCGTTCAACGAGCCACTCCAGGGTCATGTTGAAGTTGCCACTGAGGTCCTGCACCGAAATCTCTTCTTTTGTAAACCGCATGCACCATCGACAGCTCGTCTGTTGCGAAGCTGCGCTTGTTGCCCTTGCAAATCACTAGGGTGGTTCTTGAAATCACGCAGCTGCCCGGGTAACTTCCGGCATGCCCAAAAAGCATGATGGCGTCGATGGTGCAAAGCACAGATAAGGCTAAGAGGTGCTTTCTCACACAATGCTTGCGCCTAACATGGCATGTCTCCAACATGGTCCAACATTCTTGAATTAGGACAGGTCCTGCACCAAGTTCTTCACCTTGGGCAGATGGCAAGAAGTACCACTTGACAAAGTGCCCTATTTCGGCGGATCTAGACGAAGCACAACTGTTGAGAATCATAAAGCGAGCTGTATCGTGACAGATGTGACAGCCCTGACAGCTCCTCCAGTTAGACACCACGGATACACGACCATACTCGGTAAGCCCAGCGGCGTAGTAGTTCACCCTGCGCTTTCCACCAAGAGCTTGCCGAGATCGCCAGACCAGGCCATCAAGAAGTGGCCACAGCAGCTGTGGAGCTACGGCACCTGAGAGAACATGCGAGGCGAGGCCCCAACATACTCCCACTAAGGCCTCGAAGGCTGACCGCTTGCATATGCTCTTTTGCTGACCCTGCACAGAGTCGCTGCACAACTTCCGGATGTCGTGTGAATAGCGAGTCTGCACCGTAGTAGTAGCTGTCTCCTCACACCCACAACCAGCCAGGAGTTGGAAGAAGACGAAAGGCAGTGGCATGACATGACAGACGTACCAGGCAAAAAAAAATTAGGAAACGAGTGCAGAGCATGTTACTCTCACGTGCGCATTCACGAATCAATGATGATATGCATTAAGCTACAGTACATCTACAGTGGCACGCTCACCTTTGCCAAGTCTCGGTCGGCACGGATTGTGAGCAAATCCTGGATCATCGCTCTGGCACACTCCAAGCTGCCACTTTCAATGGCCCAGTAGAAGGGTGAGATGGATTGAGTGCCCACAGTAATGTTCCTCAGGAGGCAAGGTGTGTCACCGTAGCAAAAACAACTCTCAACCACCAGCTCTTTTCCTGACCTTTGGACATGGCTCAGTAGCTCCATAGCACGCTTGCTTCTTGGAGCAATGGACACTGCCTTCTTCAGGGCTTTGGCCTGGTTTGTGTTGATGGCTTTCATGACCTCAGCATTTTCCCAGGCGCTCTCAGCCTGAAGCTTGGAGCTAGGTATGCTAATGCTCACGTCTGAATGAGCACAGCCAAAAAGGAATGTCAAAGCCTGCCGCCTTTAAAGGTGCTTACGATACCAAGCTTGAGGCCTTTGAGATTCATGAACGCCCTGGTCTCTTCTGACACTCTGATCTCTTAGAACCAAGGAGTCCTGTTAAATTATCAAAACACGCACGCATGCAACGGCTGGGGGTTAGTCCACGGTAGCCCTTTTGCAACAGGCTAGTTCCATGGAAAGGTCCCCCAGAAAAGTGCAAGGCCGCAGGAGCCGCCGGATTCCAAAGACTGAGTTCTCCTGTCTGTTGCAAACCCCATGTCAGCATTAGGTCATTAAGCTTCTGGCGATGGTGCTGCCCTCGAGGATGGTGCGCACGAGGATCTTCGAAATCAGTGTCAAGGACCAGCGGAAGGCGGCCTCCGCGACCTCGTCCGTGGTCATCGTACGCACAGCTTCCACGGCGCAGGAGACAAAGGGAGCAAAGAGCTCCGTGGGAATAGCGTAGCCCACATGCCGTAGACCCAACGCCGAAATGTCCTGCCGGCGGTCAGCTAGGTCAGCTCAGGGCTGCTCGAAATCCATAGATGGCTAAAACACTTGGGGCTGTCGCTACATGGGTGGCTCGAGCCTCCACCATCATTCGTGGGCTGTGAAACATCTCCATTGTCATTTCAAAGATCTTGTCTGCGATGAAGTAGAGTCTTGTGGTGGACTGCTTGAAGTGGTCTTGTCCTGCCGGCGCGACCTGGAAGAACCTGCGCAAAGGCCAACTTTTTTTGGCCGTCCACAACGAGTTAATGAGTTTGAGTGAGTTGCGCAAAAGACTGCCCCAATCTTCCCCCCGCTTCTTGCCGCTACAAAAAATGCAGAGGCTGAGTAGCTTCTGGTAGATGGTACGCCGGAGTATTGTGATGTCGTCGGGCGAAAGCCCAGAGATGAAGCGCTCCAGAGCCTTTTCCTGGCTGTGCGGCTTCCCCATGTGGGACTTCAGCATGCGCTCCACGTTCCTTCAGAATGCAACTCAGAGAAGCAAAGTTGCAGAACAAAGGGAAGCATAAACCCATGATTACTTCCTATTCCGAAGTGACAACACATCACTCATCCATTGCTCTGCCAAGGCTCTCCCATAGCCAGTTCCAAGCCACTTCATGCTCGGAGTCCCACTCTTTCGGTACCAGGGAGCGCAAAGATGACAGCATCACCGCCTTCACAACACGGGCACTTGATGGCACTTGAAAGACTAAGATGCATGCAGAAGGCGAAGCCTTTGTGCACTCAGACGCGGCCTTGAACTCAGACAGGTGGACTTGACCCTCGTGCTTGTCCAGGACGAGCGTCAACACATCGCACTCCTCTTGCAAACGGTAGGAGTTGGCCACGTTGGTGACGATGTTATGGAATTGGTCCAGGACCAACGTCATCCACCCGCTTTCAGCAAAGCCCATCACTGCAGCGTTGAAAAGGAACATTTCATTGAATGTAGTCGGAACCTGCATCTTTTGTTAAGAACTGTAACACACCCCCAACCCTCGCAAAACGAGCTTCAACAGCGGGTGGCCTTTACCGGCGCCTTGCCATCTTTGGTGGCCATGGTTTTGGTGGACGCGTGGCCCTGGGAAGTGGGAAGGTCAAGAAACGTCATGACGAAGCACGAAGCACTTAGGCCACTGGCTACGCTACTGGCGCATGTTCCGTGTGGTCGATTCGCTGCTGCACCCCCAAGGCTCTCCCACCGGGCCTGTACGTCTTTTGCTGTGTGGTTCTCCGTAGCAGCAGTAGTCTCAGCCGTGACCGCTGGTTCTTCACCTTCTTGCTTGGCGTCGGCTTCTCCTGAAGCTTTGTCCTCCTCCTCCGCATCCTTGTCCGGCACATGCTGTCGGCTAACAAGCTAAGAATGCATGCTATTGGGTTGGATTGGGGCGTAGGTTCCTATCCTGATCGCCCGCCTCATCTGTCGAAGACTTGTTCGCAGTCTTCCAACTCCGCTGAATGACTCGAATTCTGGAGGCATACTCCCGACGAATGTAGATGAAGGCCCCGCCGGAGTAGTTCAGCACAGCCTGTCCAATCTAGATCTGGGAGATTCTTGACAGCACATACTGGCCTATGTTTGGAGGAAAAACTACCTGCCCCTCTGCAGATAGTCTACTATCCATCTTCAACGATTTCTCAACGACTCCTACAAAGAACTCCCGCTGCTAGGACGCCACATAGACCACATGCGGGAGACATGAGTAAGATCGCAAGCGTGGGGGGAATGTTCCGAACGCAGCACGCGCATGCGCAGATACTCGCAGATGCTCGCAGCTACTCGCTGAAAGGCACAAAAGCGCGCCCGGTTAGCTTGGGCCGAGGCCTGGAGGCCCAGCTTGGCCTTGGTCGAGAAGCGGGCGCCCAATTCCTTGGACAACGAAAGCGCAAAGAAAAAAGCTGTCAGTTCCCGAGCGCAAGAGAGCGCAAAAAAAAATATCGCAGCAAAAAGAGTGAAGCCCAAATCCGAGAAGCCATCTCAAAGAGCTCCACGATGGCTTCACGGAAGATGCCCACTCGTGGAGCTGTTACTTCCAGGTCCAGATGCTGGAACCCAAGACTCCTGAGATTGAAACTCTTGGCACCTCTGGCTTCGGCTTAGTGGCTTAGTGTCACTGGCGCCTTTCCCACAGCAAGAAGCAAAATGAGCAACGATGTTCCTAATGATGTCTTTGGACCGCGGGCGTGAGGACCCAACATGACCCAACACTTGGACAAACATCGGCACGTCTGCGTTCTCAAGCATTCGCCAAGCACGCGCTCAAGCATTCGCCAAGCACGCGCAAACATCCGCAAGCAATTGCAGGAGTTCGATCGTATTTGCACTTGCGCCTCTAGCCTGGTAGCGAGCAACTCCTTTCCAATGTTCGCAAATCTCAGGTTCGATTCTCACTATGCGGGTCGGGCCACCTTTACTTGTTAGGCAAAAGCGTGGGCAGCCTTGAGACAACTTTGACAAGCTGACACAAGCTGACACAAGCTGACACAAGCTGACACAAGCTGACACAAGCTGACACAAGCTGACACAAGCTGACACAAGCTGACACAAGCTGACACAAGCTGACACAAGCTGACACAAGCTGACACAAGCTGACACAAGCTGACACAAGCTGACATGACTGAGATGACACAAGATCACAAGCTGACACAAGCTTGACGTCTTGAGCTGTTGCGCGTTATGCGCAGCGGACACGATGGAGGTCAGCCCGTTCATGAAGCGCATTGCCATCACAGACCTCCGAGCAATCTCGACACCCAGAGACATACAGTAGTGGCTCGTGGCAACCCCCACACGGTCCAAAAAGACCTGATGGCAAAAATAAAATGTTCATTGTTTAGGCTCGCACCTGGCTGTTTTGAACAGGCTCTGCAAGCTTGGGGCTGCATCGAAGACTGCCGCATAGATTGCCTCACCTGCTGCATCGCCTGGGTTGCCAAGAGTCAGGCTTGGCGTCACGTTAGCTCCTCTCCTCCTTGCCATGTCTAGTTCATGACTGTGCTCGCGCCGCCGCACACTTCTGCCGAAGCTCGGCCGTTCAACTGCGTAATGAAGATGTGCCACGCATCTTGCACCTCATTCCCACAAGCACAGCTGCTCACTAGGGCTTGTGCACGAACATGCACAAACACAGATTACCTTAGGGAAGGACCTCCTGCATCACATCTGGTGGGAAGTAGGCCTTCACATGCAGAATTGAAGCGGGCTGACGATGGCTGACGCACCGGCGCGCGACGCTTCAAAAGCGCTGGCTTGGCATGCCTCCTCGAAGGTGGCGTCATGGACTTCCAAGTGCTTCTGGACATTCTTGTCTGTATCTTCCTCCTCAGCCTGAGCTTGCATTGCATCTTTCTATTCTTCCTCAAACAGCCAACTTCTTAGGCGTGCAATGACACAATCAGGGTGCCGGAAGCTCGTTCGGGATGGTGTCATCTCCTAGCTCATCCCCATCACCAGAGGCCGCGTCCTCGCTCGCGTCCTCCTTCGAGGCAGTCATTGAGACCGAACTGTCAATGACTGCGGCAAGGGCAAACTTACCGTATTATTGCTGTATCTTCAGGGCTCGGAAGCCCCCGAGTTTAGAAGCTTGGGGGCTTCTCTCCAATGACATTGACTAATTCAGGCAAGTGGTAGCTTATTGCATCGCTTCTGGTGCTGTCTGGAATGATCCAATCCAGAGCTTCAACTCTTGTTTTGTTCATTTTTCCTTCCACTTCCAGTCCAGATCAATGTGTCTGATCGGCACTACAGTTCTAAAATCATTGACGAGTCATCACACTGCTTTCTCACAAACTGGTTCAGGAGGGGGCACAACCGCCACGCTGAAAAGAAGCCAACTTCCGCCGCCTCCTCAATCTCATCAGTCTCTCCGTTCTCATCCGAGATATCCGACATGCCCGGCAGATCGGGAGCACACCAGAGGAAGCTATTAGGCCCTTTGAGCCAAACTTCTCGGCAAGGCGTGCAATTTCTATCTTCTGCCTCAAGCGCAGGCTAGCATGCGAATCCAAAAGCAACCTTCAGCTGCTACCGCTTTCACCTCACAGGCGGTGAAACCTTAGCTGGCAGAAAGCTTCACAAGGTCCTGCTTGACGGCAGAAGTTTCACCTGCCTGCGTAGGCTCTAGTGAGGCTACGGCCACGGCCAGACATCGCAAATCGAAACGCCGCTAGCTTCAACAAACAACGGTTTGTCTGTGATTTTGCATGACTCACTGCGACGCCACTGCTGGCCACAATGAATCCTTATGAAAAAGCTCCATGTTGGAGCTGCTCCTGCGTGTACATGTTCTGAAACGCGAATTCTGCTGGATTCTCCAGCACCGTCAAGTAAGAGGAAACATGCAGTTACACTCGGGCAGCAAATTTGCTGCCGGCCGATCTCTCTTTGCTAACTAGCGTGCGACATCAAGCAGGTCTCAAGGAATCAGATTTAATACTTCTAAGACTCGAAAGACGTCTGGACACGCTTTGCACGCGTGCGTGGCAGCATCTTCCACACAAATTTGATCGTTCGGACCCTTGAAGTCAAGCTTTGGACCCTAGGAATCCTCACTGCTGCCGGCAGACTTGCTAGATCCATCTGACTGGGCCATGGATGAGACACCACTCTGGCCACCCCGTCGAGCTTTTTCACCTGAACACACCCACTCTGACAAGTGTGCCAACATATAGGTACTAAACTTTCTGTTCTGAGAAGCTCCCACTTGGGCACTACTTCAGCGATATTTTCATCCGGGCTTGGGAAGTCGGCCGGGAAAGTTACATTAATTCGGCTTACCTTCCACTGGCTTCAACATAGTAAAGCTTAACAAAGCGCTGCGACTTGACTTCGAGACTTGTCCGACTTAACTTGGGTAAGCCATTCAAATCGTGCTTTTTGAGATAACTTTGGCGATTCTTGATGACATATCACGAGTCTGTACATGAGCCTTTATCATAATGTTAGATGATGTTAAAGCTTCGTTCCATGCATTTGGCTACATTTCTGCGAAAACAATTGACATGTACACTCCCCATTGCAAGCCACTACGCTATAAGCAAGTTCTGGAGTTCTACCTAGGCGCATGAAGTATTAAGTATACATTTCTGCTTTTCGGAAGCTAATTTGAATTAACTGCGTGTTTGTACACGTTTTGCCGCATTTGCTAAGCTGACTTCCGGCGCTTTTCCTATGAATGACATTCAGCATTTTATCCAGCGAGCTTCTAGGACCTTGGATCTTGGATACTTGGCCGTTCAATCCTTGAATTTCCGATTTGGGATCTTGGATGTTGGGTAGGGGGGCAGGAGGGGGCGAGGGGGGGGGGGGGGGGGGGGGGGGGGGGGGGGGGGGGGGGGGGGTCAGGAGATGCGATGTGGGATGCGTACCCGCCTGCTTTTTGTTGTTGTAACAACCTTGGGATACCAAAGTGATATCACAACACTGGGCGCATGCCTGCCTGAGTATACCATGGCCTTTTAAATACGCAATAGATGCCATTAGAAAGAAACGTTTTGGTGCATATCTTACCACATATAAACATCAGCCGCCTTCCATTGTTTATTTGAAAATAACCTGTTCGAATATTCAATGCGTTCAAGATGTATCCAGATAAAGACCATTTGTTAGCCGAAAACAGCCAATAGCATGAGCCTCTACATGCAATACCTAACTAGTGATGATAACAATTCAGTGAATGCAACTTGAACCACGCTTTGCTTAAACTATTGGTTCGCTTCATGTGTTTGACCTTCCATTATGCATACTCGTCATTAACAAAGAGAATCATGTAAACTACGGAAAAACCCACAAAGATGAACAACAACCGACTGTGCTCGAAAGTGATGGACATACGGTATTTACATACCAAACGAAGGGCAGATAGATCACCTGGGGGGGGGAGGGAGGGGGGGCTGCTCATAGAGACATACCATCGTATACATCTTTATCCTTCCATGCAAACTAACTCTCCGTGCAAGACAATCTTTCAGTGCCTCCGCCATCGTGAGTTCCATGTCGTTACTTTTTGGCTTTCTCTATTTCCTCATGTCTTCCACTAGCTAGCTCTGTTCTATTCGTTCCCGCTCCTGCTGCATGAAGTCCTGTACGTGGTTCTTTGCTGTTCTTGCTTTCCGTCTGTCCTACCTTGTTCCTGTTGTGTTTGCGTGTCTGCCTCAGGAAAACCGGCACTTCTCAACAGCAAAAGCCCAGCAGCAGAGCTTCCACAAAACAAAAGCCAAGAAGCCAACAGCAAAGAAGCTTCGAAGCCAGCTACTAAAAAATCGCAGAAGGCACAACAAGAAAAGCAACAAACAGTTTGGAACCCAAGATCAAACGCACAAAAGCTGAAGCACTAGTAGAAAAGGCAACCCGGAACACAAAGCCAAGAAGCCAAACAGATCAGGAAGCCGTGTCAGAGCTGCTCCGAATGCTTCTATTTGCAGTACGTGAGAGTTCCGATCAGTTCAAAGTAAGCTCAGCATTTCATTTTGCATTTGTCGCATAACCGCTCGAAGTGCTGTCACTGTTTACGTTTAGGAGATGTTCAACATTCGCAAGTTTCCATCTCGGGCTAGGGCACAAAAGCAAAATGCAACGAAATGCCAGCCCTCCATTGATTGTGCTGGCGAAACTCCGAGAATACCAAGGTTCGAAAGTTCGACAACCCAATGACAAATTCTACTTGCACATGCTTGCCGGGAGCACATGTTTGTCCACAAGCGATGGTTTCTACTGGCGTGTTGCTTCTGAGCTGGCCCTGAACTGTCAAGGACCAAATCTGCCAAGATGTTCGGGTCGTTCGGGTCGTTCGGGTCCTTCCTTTCCCTACCCAGCACAACGACCAGCCCAAAAGCCGACATATTTAGCTGCGCAGGCGGCTAAACTGGAAACGACCGCTTGTAGAGAAATGCTTTGCTCGGGCATAGCAACCTGCAAAACGAATGTGTCAGCCCAAACATACTCAACTTCATCCGAGGGGCGACCCTTGCTCAGGTTCTTGGTTGTTCGGATGATCAGCTTCTCCTAAGCCCGAGCACCGGCAGGACTTTCCAGCTGCAAGCCGGCCCCACGCACTTTCATACCATCCCCCTGGCTCCCCTTTGCATTCAAGCCACTAACTTTTCGAACTTGTCCTCCTGGCCATAATCACCTCGCGAACACTTCGGGCACTGGACATTGAAGGTGAAGAACCACTTGAGAATGGTGCTCACATCTGGAACACCTCGCAAACACACCTTCAAAGCGAGTGCCAGCCTGGCTCTTCGGGCCACGGCATCGAGGGTGCAGTGGATCCCCCGTAGCGGCGGATGGACTCCACACTGGTCGGGTGCTGGCTGGCCAGCTCGAGAACCTGAATGCCTCCCGCCACTCCAACATCGCCCTCGTTGAACTCCTGTGGAGTCAGGGCAAGTCAGGCAAGTCTTCAGCCACTTGACCATGACCTCTCAAGCGTTTCTGGCGCAAGGACTCTATGCCGGGCGACAAGTCTTTCATCGAAGTGCAAGGACTCCAGAAAACGGGCCCAGCTCTTGTGTGACATGTTCTCTAAGGTGGACACAATGATGTGAACCTGGTTCGGATGCGTCGCTTGCTGGCGCCAACCACCAAACTGTCACATCAGGCTACGCAATGCTATGCGATGCTACGCACAAACAACTCAGTTCGCTGCCCGGTTCAGACGTGCAAAGCCTTGCATGTCTTGGAAACCATGCTGGTAGGCTTGGTTCAGCTGCGCCACCAGAAGGCTAATGAGGAAGATGCAGACAAGGATGCAGAAGGCATAGACAAGAAACTCGGATAGGCAGCAGCTCAAGCGACACGACAACCTATGAGACCTATAAGAATCGTTTCGCCCAAGTGGCAAGTAGGACCATGTCACTTCGAAGGTGATTCAAGGCCGTCCCCGAATAGATGTTCAGGGCAATCCTTGGAGCTTCATGACCAGGGGCCCACCAACATCCACCAACTTGGCCATCCACGCTTTCAGTGTCGTTTACGTTGAACTTGCGAACCAAGCCTCTCAGCTAAGGTCAAGGAACCGGAAGGAATTCCGGAGAAGTCCTGGAAGCATGAAGAGATTACCGACATGCCTTCGAAGCTTTCAGGATTCAGGACTCCAGACTTCAAGGCCTCGTCACTTTGGCCGCCCTGCTCCAGCGCGCTGATGGATGAGGCTGAAGCCAAGATGATGAAGACGAAAGCCAACAAGAACAGGCCCACCTCCAAAAGAAAGTAATTACGAGACAAGCTCAAGCGGTCCGGAGTGAGGGGCGTCAGGGGCGGAAAGGCAGACGTTTGCAATATATCCACCTCAGAAAGAACACGCCCGCATACCAGGATGAACGCCGAGATCCGCCTGCCAGGATCGAGATCGAGATCCCCCCAGAAGCCACATGGAAGCCCGAGTACTACGCGACCGCAAAGAACTACAAAGAAAGACTTGTGGAAGCCATAGGCAGACAGGAGCACTGCTCTCTAGCCAAGGCACATTGAGAACACACTGAGGTTAACAAGCAATGCCCAGAACAGAATCAGTGCCGAACCTTGGGTTTCGGCTGCCGTCCCGTGTCTTCTCGTGTCTACCGTGGGCTGCTTCTATTAGTTTCTATTGCATGCGAACTATCAGGATGACAGCTGACAATCCGGTAATCCGCTTCAGTCGAGCAGCTGCAGAAAACAGAATAGACTCGCGTGCGGGCCAAGCCCTCTGCACAAGCCGTTGTGAAGAGCTCCCCGTCCCCACCAAGGCACCAGAACACCGGCTCTTGTGTTGCCATAAGGATCAGGAGCCAAAGCAGAATTAAGTTCCCCAGGCCCTGCCATTCTTTCAAGTACATCGGGATCGGTATGCGGCAGCACCGCTCCACATAACCTTCTCTACAGTCCGACCAGAACAATCGGACTTGGTCAAAGAGGAACTTGACCATGCAGAAGACGTAGATAAAAACCCGGCAAGAGAAAAGGGCTATTCGCAGTGAATCGGACCGATCAGCATCATCCACCGCTGACAGAATGGACTGGCTGACCTGACGTGCGAGGGAAAGGGTGCGGGCTATGCCAAAAAAACACACGCTTTTGGGCCGAGACGTCCGATAGTGTTCTAACTAGTTGGCATGAGAACAACCGATGCCAATTTAAGCCCACGCTGGACGACGAGACGGAGACGTCCTTACATGCGATGTTTTTCGAGCTGCGCAACCGCTGCTGTGATCACAACTGCGATGGGGCGTGACGGCTGTAGCCATGCGCCTATGTGTTTGTGAGGAAACCTACAGAAACCTCCCCCTCTCCCCCTGCAGTACTTGCAACCAAAAAAATGGAAACTACGCCTTTTTGGGGGGGAGCGATCTCTCGCACTTCCCGTTTGCCTCTTCATTGAAAGATGTCCACTTCTGACGGAGCTGCAGGACTTACTACAAGTGGCTTACTTAAGTCATTTATGAGCTGTATAAGTGCCAAGGACTGCCACAACCAAGGTGCTAGGAAGACAACGAACGAGATGAGAAAGTGAACTCTCCCTCGCAGGAAGTGGTACTTGATGATGCCGTCCCAGAGGATGTCTGAAAAGAAAACCACTGCAGGATGACCTCAGATCGGGATCTCCCAGATGTTCAAGCAAAAACGAGAAGCAAAACCTCAATGGCACATGGTAAGAACTTAACAAACCACTGCTTTGATGAAATGCGCAGGCGGCTAATGGTCCCAGGATCTCCGTGCTCTTCCAACCAGGCCAGGGTCTCATGGGGATTTCCTTCCAAGTCCTGCACCAGGTGCTTGACGTAGTAGTTCACGCGCCGGAAGCCTTTGTTGATCCAGCGAGATCTCCAAATGAGGCCGTTGAAAAGTGGGTGGAGCAGCGCAGGCACATCTGTGATCAAATATTGAACAACATCAGGGTGCCGAGCAAAAAGGTCATCGCATGCAAAATAATAGACATCACGATCAGCTCGAATCGTGAGCAAGTCGCCCAGTATGGCTTTTGCACTGTTGAAGTTGCCGCTCTTAATGGACCAATAGAAAGGCGAGATTGACTGCGCGCCCACCGAAATGTTCAGCAATTGCTGAGCCCGCATGCCCCTCGGCGACAGAGCCATTGCCTTTTTCATGGTCACCTCGTCATTGGTGCTTATGGCCTTCATGACGACCGTGGACCCTTCGGAAATGGCCCTCACCAGGATTTTGGAGACCAGTGTAAGGGACCATTGAAAGCCTGCAATGGCTGTTTCACTTGTGGTGATCTCCCGAAAGACATCCACGGCTGATGTCACGAATGGAGCAAAGAGCTCAGATGGGATCGAATACCCAACATGACGAAGGCCCAACCCCGAGATGTCTTCCACCATTGCACGTGGTTGTCGATACATCTCCAGCGTCAGTTCTATAATTTTGTCAGCGATGAAATAGAGTCTGGTCGACGATTGCTTGAAAAAGTCAGAGCCTGCTGGTGCTACTTTGAAGAAGTGCAAGAAGAACTCTTGTCGAATGGCCGCCATGGAAGCTTCCGGAAGGCTCATAAACAGATCCGCGAGCGCTTTTTCGTGAACCTTGGACTGCACAAATGGCGTGGGCACGCAACACTTTCGGTCAAGCGGTTCGACACCATGTCTCTTTTTCGCCACACGAGTGCCGCTGAGACCATCAAGCACTGCCTTTTTCTGCCAAAAGGTTCGACAAACAATAACGAGCAGCCGGTGGCTTACCAAGAACACCTTTCAGCAGTCGCTCCACATTCCTTAGCTTGCTAACTGTTGGACTGCTCGTCTGGTCATGCATGGAACAGATCACACACAGGTCCCACCGTCACTTTCAGAGCAAGCATCTGCCAAAGCCAATTCCAAGCCACCTCGGGTCAAGTCAGTGCACCGGCTTCTCATCTTGAAAGACTTGAAAGAGAGCGTGAGCAAGACGCGTCAGTCGCCTCTAGCAAGTAAAAGTTCAAAGCTGGGCGACTTCGTGATCTGAATCCCATTCGGTGGATACCAGGGACCGCAATGACGCCAGGACAACTGCTTTGAACTCGGACAGCACGAAAGTGCCTGCGCTTCATTCTCAGACCAGGGAGGGCGGCTGGGCACCTGCAGAAAAGCTGAGGCTTGTGCCTTGGTATTTTGACAGCACGAGGGCGAGGACATCGCACTCCTCCTGCATCCTGTAGGGATTGGACACATTGTTCGCAATGGCATCAAGCTGGTCCAAGATCAACGTCATCCAATCATGGTTGGTCAAGCCCATGACGGCTGCATTGAACAGGAACATATCATTGAACGAACTAGGGACCATCATGCCATCGGTTTGCTTTGTGATGGCCACGCCCTCTCCATCAGCTTCTCCCGCAATAGAGTCGACTTCATCCAGCATGTCCGCTGAAATCGTTTTTAATCTTCCAGAGAGGGTCTTGTTATCACTAATTTCTGCGACGTCCGAGATTCCGGCTGCCTTTTTGTTGGCCGACCTCCAGCTCGTCTGGATAATTCGAATTCGGCTGGCGTACCTTAGGCGGCACTGTTTCTGGACATCCCAAAAGATCCTCGAGTCTGTCACAGGCTTGCTGCTCTGGTGGATCGCCCAGCTACTCTCGCCTGATGTAGATTAAGGCTCCGCCAGCGTAGTTCAGCAGCAGTTGGAAGCCGAATCGAGATGTCTCGGTAAACTTTGCACCCAGCTCCTAAGGGGGGATCAAGATATCGGCCACGCTTCAGTTGCACATGTGACATTGTCTGACTAGCTCAGTTCCATCATGTCATTCAAGCAAGCAGGGGTGAAGCTGGGCCCGCGTATGTCAAATCGACAGTCCACATGACAACTTCCTTTCACAACCCACGCCGCATCCTGGTCAAAAAGCTCGAAGATAGCTTCACGGAAAATGTCCACGCGTGGACTGCTGACTTCCTCCAGCAACAACAATTGCGGCAGCAATCGCAGGTGAGAAATGGTCACCGATGTGTCATCTTCCAAGCGACAGAAAACGAAACGAGATAGATAATTGGCCCCAACCAAACAGCATGAACTTGCCTTTTCGGCCAAGCTTCAATATCCAAGTGTTGGAAACCAATGGTCTCCACAATCGTTTTGAGTTGCCCAGGCTTGCCAGCGGCATTCACCAGAGAAGCCAAGGCTGTCACAAAACGATTCGCAATCACAGATCTTGGGGTCTTGAACCTGCATAAACGCGGCAGCAGCGTAGGCGAGGACGGCAGGGTACGACAGGTTCACAGCAGCCCGTGTGTTTCAGACAAGGCACAGGCTTTGGAGGCTTGGCGCGGCCTCGAAAATGGCCGAATAAATGGACTCGCCTGCAGCCTCTTTGCTGCCCATCGTCGCAAGGAAGGCTGCCCTTAAGAGTCCATGTCATGCCCCTAATGCGCCCTACAAACTCATCGAAGTTCAGCCCCGGAATTGCAAGTTCCAAGAAGCTTCTGGGAAGGAGTCTCGGGGTAGCATGGTGACAAAGGCATGATGAAGGGCCCTTGAAAGAAGCTAAACGCCGCCTGATCTTGGCAACTCATTCTGGGCCAACGCATTCACTCTACAAATCTGTCTTAGACAAACGTCTCCGAACTCAGGCAAGACTTCTTAAAGGAGGCCAAGCGAAGCATGCTCGCTGCAGATCAGTCACAGGCAACTTTGCACTTCTTCCACCACATACTGTTCAATCTGGATTTTGTCAAACGTCTGGTCATAGACGGAAAGGTACTTGCTCATTTCAGAAGTAGTGGAAGCCTCTTTCTCTTCGAAGGATGTCTTCGCGGAGGCCCCCTCCATAGGATCAACTGGGTCATCCATGATGTTGGAGCCATACTTGTCGTCCGCAATAGAATCCTGCGTGGATCCTTCATTGTAGCTCCCACTCAGCTGCTCCTCAGAGCCCGAGGACATTGCCACCCAAGCCCCTGTCAGACGTGGCTGACAGCTTGAGCATCGCAATGGCCATGGATATTCTCGGACATTCAACCGACGACAATTCCCTACCTGACTTTCTTAGATGTTGAAAATCTCTTCATGCACTGTTCGGCGGGTGCCAGGATGCCCCTCTATCAAGTTCAACCGGCTACGCCATAAACCCCGAAACAAGCAGGCATGCTCATTCTCTGAAAAAAGAATGGTTACAACTACCGGCAGCCGAGCCGGCTGCGCGAAGCTGATGTGGAGGAGTGATGCCCTTCCTTGGCAGCTCTGTGATTCAATCGAATGGCTGAGGTTGTCCCCCAGCATCTGTTGCTACTTGTGGCGCCATGAAAATTCTTATGTGGGACCTCATGGCTCTTCTGGGTATGTTGGCTTAGTATCTTTTTGCTGGTATCATTGTAAGAAGATGCTGCACAGTAGTACACCCTTAGTAGTGGAATCGTTCTTTCCATGAGCCGGCTGGCTTTCATTGATGAATATGTTGTACAAGTTTAATACTGGAATCGACGTTTTCATGAGCCTGCTGGATTTTAGTTGATTTGTAGCGGCTTCGTATAGGAATCGACGTTTCGCTGAGCCGTCTGGATGTGCCTTGATGTGCAGAACAAGCTGCTTGCTGGGCCGGCTGGATTGTCACTTAGTACAAGCTTAGCACTGGAGTCGACGTTTCTGGGACTGGAATCGATGTTTCCGTGAGCCGGCTAAATTCTCATGACCACTGACTTTTGAGGGTATCTTCTGCTTCTGTTTCTTTATCGTTTTTTTGGGGGGATCGCTTGAACCACAATTCTGGCATGAACATGAGTTTTTGTCTCCACCGCAAGAAACCTCTAGCAACATAAACTCACTTGGAAAGCTGATGTCGGGCTGGCTACTCGGGAAACAGCTTGGGAGAGAGCATTGCCAGCCGATGCAGCTGCAAAAGCCCACGTCCACGCTGCGGCTGGTGGCAAGAGACAAGCAGGCGGGGGCTCAGAAAATCTATCAGAAGCAAAATGCTGCTGCCCAATGGGCATGCTCAGAGAACACTGCCGGGGCCTTCGAGCCATCGTATAGAAGCGGATACTGCCATCTTGTAGACAGATGAAGCCTCACAGCTGGAGCTGCATCGGTCATCATCGGTCGTGCTTTTTGGTTTGGTTCTTGCCATCCCAAAGGCAGCTGCTACTGGAAGTGCCTGGGACCCGCTTCTGTATCACTTCCATCGGCCATTTGAGTCACCTGGCATGGCGAAACATTGCCGCCATGCTAGGCATTCGCCGCGCCCTCTGCGTCTAGAAGAAGCAGACTGCCCGGAGAGCCGCCAATTTGAGCCAGTGTCTCCAACAAGAACAACCCGACATCCATATTTTCTTCCTCGCCGCTTTGCCGAAGCAGCAGGCGGTCTCTTCATCTGGATTGCAAAAAGGAATGACGGCACAATGGGCACATGGCTTCTGGCCCACGACCACCGCACGACTGGGACCCCCCTTCCTTAGATCACCTTCGGACAGCCCATAGTAACAGATCTCCGTCATGCACGTCCCGTGGGCTTGGGCTGGCGGCACCCGCACGCGGTTATAAGTATCCGGCCACTGCTGTTCGCTGACATGCCTCCAAGGTTGTCTGCACCTTTGCTTCTGGCTGGTCCATGTCTGACAATGGCCTTAGCCGACGCGCTGCCTACCACCTTGCGAATTTATGGCTCCTGTTTCGGAGGCCTGAGGTGCGGGCAGCCAAGCAGTGCCCCAAGGCCCCCATGCAGAATAAGAAGACCTTCTGGATGCTAGAAGCTGCTAGCAGAAGCAGGAGTTCACACAAAGAAACCGTGCATGACGGTGTTGCAAGCACCAGCTTCGACAAGCAAATCCGCGTGCAGAAACACTGGCTTGTCAGCAGCCGGCGTGAAGGTCTCAAAGAAGCGGATGTGCAGGCAAACATCTGCGGGATCAGGCCTGATGTGGCACTCAGCTCAGCAGGCACAAGCGAAATCTGCTGCACAGCTCTTGCGCAGCTTGTGACAGGTTTGGGCTTGCAACATACAGCCATGCAGGCAAGCATTGGTTTCGCAAGGTTCCCTAAGGCTGTCACACTGGGCTGACGAGCTGAATGGGAATGTCTAGTTCTTTGCCAAACCTGATGCTGACGGCTCAACCTTCTCCCAGCGCCAACGTGAGGCCATGATTGCGCTTGACTTGCTATGGGCTCCGGCTGGAACAGGCTTTCGGCCTGCACAGCCCAGCTTCATTTCACGCGGTTGAACCCCTGTATCCTCGTTGCGCATCCTTGCAGCCTGAGGACGGTACTGTGGCAACCTCCAGCAGTTCACTTTGAAACTCCTCGGGCAAAGTTTCCTTACTGTACCTGTGTACCTGTACCATGTCTACCCCCAGCAGGACTGCACCTGGCATGGTCAACAGGCAGTCCTGCACCTGCCATCTGTGGAAGAGCTTTGCCTGCTGGGCTGTGCGCTCAGCACAGACATGACTAACATCAATGAGACTTGGCGGGGTTGCAGAAACTAGTTGCCGGATGTCGTTTTGGCATCCGAAAGCACAACACAATCTGGACCTGCTGTGCCGATCAAGCCTCCAACTGCCACCCCGCACCAACGTCGCTGACCCCAATCTCTCCAGTCCTGCAGCTCGGATGCCCGATCCATCGATCTCTCACAAGGGTGAAAAATGGCCACCACCGTACTCCACTTGAGGGAGCGGCCGTGTCTCACACGAGCCAGTTCGCACCAGAAGCTCCCCGCCTGAGGCGGTTAGCAAATGCTGTTTCGCACTGATGACTCACCTCCGTTGTTGAGGCAAGGAATAATGAAATGATGGCCTTCTGTCTCGACTGGGTATCTCCAGTTGGCGCTCAGCTGAAGCAGCACATCCACATCCTGCTGCCGCCGAAGGCAAGTCTTCCCACGACTTCCTCAATGACACTCAAGATGAAGTGTGCCGCCCAGCTTCGGCTCGCTCAGAGCTGGAAGACTTCAAAACCTTGGCGGGCCGCCGTTTCAAGAACTTTCGGGCTCACGACCCATGGGCCGAGACATCCCTGCCCAGCTGTGGGAAATCCCTGATGGCCCTGGGAGGCGTCTGTCTGACATTGCGAAGCGGGCTTGCAGCCCTACAAATAAATACAACCACCTTGTCAAGTGCCCGTTTTGTTTCGGCTTGGAAGGTTTAGGGTTCAGGGTCGGCCGACACTGAAGGCCCGCTACGAGCAGGTGGTATGAGAGGCCTGACACAGGGGGAGAAACAAGAGGAGCATGAGTGCACGAGAAGGTTGAGAGGTGGTCGGTTGAACTCTTTTACATCTTTTCTTGTGCTCTTTCAAATCGGTGCAGCAAATGCAAAGGTTTGGGCTTTCGAGTGCAACTCGGGCTGAAGTTTAGGGGTGTCTAGAGGACGCTGTCAGCAAGGCAGGCCGCTCACCGCCCCAAAAGCAAGGTCCGGCGCGTCCCAAGGGAATCCTAAAAATCTTCGGGTGTTTGTGTTTCATTGTCGGGAGTTTTTGTTGGTTCTTTGGGCTTGCAATTTTGCTCTTGGTTGTTTTCGCCTGTTTGCGATGTGTTCTGTTCGCCTGCTTTTGTTTCTTAATGTGTGGGCGTCTGTGTGTGTGTGTGTGTGTGTGCGCGCGCGTGCGTGTGCGTGTGCGTGTGCGTGTGCGTGTGCGTGTGCGTGTGCGTGTGTGCGTGTGTGCGTGTGTGCGTGTGTGCGTGTGTGCGTGTGTGCGTGTGTGCGTGTGTGCGTGTGTGCGTGTGTGCGTGTGTGCGTGTGTGCGTGTGTGCGTGTGTGCGTGTGTGCG